CACATAGGCCACATGAAGGATGTGCACGTCGAGACTTTGCCGACGAGCAAGGCCTTTGCTCCCACTGCCGACCGTGACTGGTTCGTGCAGTTTTGGAAGATCGGCGTTGGCGAGGTTTTCCTAGCCATACCATTCGCCATCTTGCTTACAATCCTGTTTTGGTTCGATCACAACGGTGTGTATTGACGCGGCTCTTATGGATATATATTATGCTGATAAGCACCCAGTATCGTCCCTCATCGCGCAAGGATCCGAATTTCCCCTCCGCAAGCCACCTGGGTTCCACTGGGACATCTTTCTCCTCGGTTGCACTACCGGACTTGCTGGTATTCTGGGCATCCCATTCCCCAACGGCCTGATCCCGCAGGCACCATTCCACACACAAGCGCTCTGTGTTACCCGTCAAGTCGTTGACGAGAAAGCAAAAGGCCACGTTGTCCGAGTTACAGACCATGTTGTCGAGCAACGCTTCAGCAACCTCGCACAAGGTCTGTTGTTCCTTGTCACAATGAGCGGCCCTCTTCTAGTCGTACTGCATTTGATTCCACAGGGCGTTCTCGCAGGCTTGTTCTTCGTCATGGGCGTCCAAGCCCTCGTGGGAAACGGAATCACTCAGAAACTACTATTCCTCGCGAAGGACAAAGAGCTGACGGACGCGACGGATCCGTTGGCGAGGATCGAGCGTCGACGAGCCATCTGGGCCTTTGTGGCGTGCGAACTGATCGGGTTCGGGGCGACTTTTGCAATCTCTCAGACAATAGCGGCCATTGGATTTCCCATCATCATTCTCTTGCTCATTCCCGTCCGGACGTGGTTGATGCCAAAATGGTTCCGAGACGAGGAGCTGAGGCTCCTTGATGCACCTACCGCTGGACCCTTCGTCATGGAAAGCGTGGGCGGTGCGTACGGAGAGAGCGAGGAGACTTCACCAGCGGCGAGGACACCACGGGACGACAGTGACGACAATGCGGTCGTCGACGATACTTTGGAACGAGGTGAAAGCCATGAATTGCACAGTGTATTGACCAACAAGCGGACCGGCGAGACGGGAAGTGAGAACACCGGAGTGGGACAAGGAGCGAGCCATAGTGAGCAGCGGAGGCCCGACGCAGGGATGAGGAGGAGAAGCCACAGTTTCATGCAAAGACCGGGATAGAGAACAGCGAGTAGACAATGGTATGTAGAGTGGACAAAAGTCACGTAGATGGGACAGAAGATATGTAGATGGGACAGATGATGTGTAGAGTGGGGAGACGACTGGATGGCGACAGACAGACAGCACGTTAGATGTCAAACGAGCCACGGGGTAGAAGCGAGGCGACGGCCAGACAAGCCTCTGCATAGAGGAGAGAGGAGGAGACGACTCAGATCAGAGTGAGCGAGGCGGCTGTACCGGCGTTCTTGTGGGTAACTAAGGGTAAAGGAAGCCAGCTGGCATTTCTCATGTGTTAATCCGATCCGACCTACTCTGCTCTACTCGCATGGCCGCTCGGTCATTCGTTCATTCATTCGTTCATTTAATCGAGGAACACGTCTGTCGACTCATTTGCGTCCGACGTGGACGTGGCACTGCAAAGCACAGTACAATTCACCACAGTTCACCACAGTATAGTAGTACTCCACGACCCATATCGCTGGCGAGGCACTCTATACTTCGAGGATGAGATGAGGTAGATGTATAGAGGAGATTCAAGCGAGACGCAGGATCAGGATATCTATCTATCTATATATGTATCTATGCGTGTCCCGCACCGTATCGCACCCACGTGCATGGATTCCCATCTGCTTGAGTTTAACAGCTGTGAATAAACAATTAACTAGTTAACTAGTTAACTAGTTCACTAAGTAGGTAGCTAGGCACCTATTAGGTAGCTCGCTATCTTGACCACCTCCTGTGTATTGCGCCTCGGGTATTGAATATTTGGTACAGGTAAGTGGTAAGTGGGAAGTAGGTAACTAGGTAGGTAAGTAGGTAAGTAGGTAAGTGGTAAGTGGTAAGTGGTAAGTAGGTACAGTACATAGCCAGCAGGTTGGTAACGTGTCCCCATTGACGTTCATGTTCTGTATGGCCTCTTTAGTACCAAATATCACCGACTTGCGTTCCCATCCCATTGCATTCCGGTCGAGGCATTTCGAGGTCTGCGAGTCGTGGCTGGTCTGGACGGGAAACTATAATATGTATATAGCTCCGCATACCTTGTCGGTCGGTGATGTATATATGTGTTTTGTCTCTGGATGTCCTTTGCGCTGTGTTGTGCGCTGTGCGTTGTGCGTTGTCCCTGTACTGCCTGTTGTGTTGTCCTTTGCGCTCTGGGGATGTTCGATATGTTACTGATAAGCTGTTCGTTATGCTGTGCTGTGCTGCGCTGCGCTGTGCTGCCCTGTGCCGTGCTGTGCCGTGCTGTCATTGCCCCAGTAGTCACCCTCCTCGCTGCACGTCTGCTTTGCTGTCTTCGTCACCCCGTTCGTTCTAGTTAAATCAACCTACTGTCTGAATAAACTGGCTCGCCGGTTCTTGACTCGTTGCTACGAGCAGGTCGGGTCCTATCTTTCGGCCTCGGAAACGAACTGCAACACGCTTCCCCAGTGTACATAGTGCTCCTTGTTGTCTTCTCCAGATAACTTGATCAGCACGAGTCCAAAGCATATGGAATACATCTCATTGTCAAATCACTCCCGGCCGAGCAATCTGAAATGCAAAGCAGCGCTCCCTACCACGATCACGGCCTTGTCTGTTCGATGACAAGCATTTCTTCGCCGTCGGCTTCGGATCGTCGTATATCTGCGCCGTATCTGGGTCGAACATATCATGTCTCTGGACATGTTGGTTGCGACGGTGGTGTGAAGTCCAGCTGATGCCACTCAGATCTCGTAGGTCTCGGCTTGGCGAAGGTCGGGCTGGTATCATCCTCGTCCGCTGAGTGTGCGTGAGCACGAGCACATAGCATTTATCAGGTCCAAGCTCATATTCCTATCCCTATTCACAGCTCCCTCCCGGCACTCCACACAAAGTCCTTCCCTTGACCCCAAAGCTCGCGACCCAATCTGCCCAAACTAGATCGCACGTCTTCCCAGTCCAGTGCCGTCGGGATAGAATCAAGATGCAAAATGCCCAGCACCACGACCAAACTGAACAGACTACACCCGCTGACCACGTAAAGGCACTTGAGTCTCAAGACGGTCCTGCGCCGCCGATCGTCGCGGTACCCGTCCGTGCCCCGCGTCGTGATGTCGATGTCCTGCTGTGTGGCAAAGTAGACCATCATCAGCACGACCGAGACGCAGATCCAGCACAGCAGAGATCGGCTCAGCAGGTGCAGAGCCGGCCGCGTGGCGTGGCTGAGGCGGAAGATCTGCAGACAGAGGAACGAAAGCAGGATGCTCAGCGAGAGGAGCCGCAAGAGGACGGCGAGCGGCGAGTACTGCAGGAGCCAGCGCGACATGAGGGACGAGGCGAACATGTGGGCGAGGTACGCTGCTGCGCCGGCCTGAAAAAGCGCGCCGCGAATGTATGTTAGCCTAGATCTATCCCCGTGAGAGAACGAGACACGGGCGGGCGTGCGTGCCTGCAAGCAAATAAACCCAAGGCAAGGCGCAAAAACCGGCCACCAGGTCGGGAGAAACAAGGAGACAAGAAGGAGACGACAGGAGCTACCACTCTCATCCTGCGGTATACATACCCACAAGAAGCTCAAGCATACTTGGGCGATGGCGATCCTTTCGAACATGGCATTCTCTGGTCGTTGGCCATGGCCATGGACATGCCCCTCGTAGGACAAGGAGCCCTGGACACGCACGAGCTGGTAGATGCTGAAACTCGTCTGGCAAGCCCACCACGCCGCCGAGATGGTCGAGAGGGCCCGACACAGAAGAAGCGGCGCACTGTTCCACGCAGAGGATCGTCAGCGTCGACCATTATAGAGATTTCGCGAAGCAAAGGAAAGCATGCGTATGGAAAACGATCCCATATGTTCTCTTGATCAGACTTCTTTTTACTTACTGCCACTGCTCCTGGACTCCCAGCACGACAGCTACACGAGGGTATCGAGCCGATCGCGCCACGCTCGCTGGCGGATTGTTGGTATTGCCGTCGTCAGCGCCATGTTGTTGTTGTGACTGGGCCGGACGCGCCTGGGAGGCTCCTACTCCTATGCTGGCGATCTCGCCGTAAGATGGTGGCACGGGCACCAGTGCCTCCGGGTTTGCCAGCGGAAAGGGAGTGTTGCAGCGCTATGGCGGCTGCATGGCCTTTTCTTTTCGCGGGTGCCGTGGCACGGTCTTGCCACCTCTACGCGCGTCACGGTGGACGTGTATCACCACTCCTACAGTTTTTGAGTCGAAACGACACGGGTGTGGAGGCAGCGAGCTTGCTGAACAGAGGCGCGTGACCGTCAAGCGGTCGAGGCACAAGCCCGAAGTGAGTTGGCTCAGAGTTCACTTCACCGTCGTCGAATCAGATCCGGTTCACGCACGCTTACATTTTCCCCGGATTCTTGGCCGCATCTCCAGCCCATTCGAGATTTCGAAACGAGCGTGGCCAAAATTCTCAGCCGCGCCGTTCGATATGCTGGGGTTGGCAGTCTTTACACGCGTGCAAGGCATCCACAGACGATTGGAATCAAGAACGGGAAAAGCACGTCGAGAGCAGAAGGAAACAGACACTCTGGGTTGTAGCAATTCATCATTGCAAACTAGTAACCGGGACTGGTAACATCAACGAGAGAAACCAGTCCGTCCCTCGCACATCGAAGCTAGACGCTGGTAGCGTCCCGCTAATTCGACTGCCTCTGCCGCCGTAATCCCAGTGTCCGACACCATCCCCGCCCGTGCCTTTCAGGAAGTAAACTTCTATCGTGGGTATCATAAACGCATAACCGTATCGTATCCCGAAAATGCTATCGTAGTTTGGCCGCTGCATCGACCAGCGAAGACGAACAGGCCAGAAGTAATCGTAGAAGGAGGGTGATTCTCGTCGGGCGACAACTTCTATCTGTCCTCGATCACCGAGCAGGATAGCACAGGATAGCGGCTGAAGCGTTTAGAAACCATGGACCTGGCGTCGGGTTAGCCGACTGCTTTGCTGACCGAGTGTGTGTGCCTACCTTGATAGTCTTAGCGTCAAGCTCGAGGCCATCCTTTGCGACCAAGAACTCTTGTACATCTTTGCGCTGATCACCCTGAAGTTGGATCACCTCGCCCATCTCACTGTCCGTGACGATGGTGCCATTGCAAGCTAGCTCTTGTCAGCCATGTGTGCCCAGTTGCGTGCGACGGTGCCGCCTACCAAACTTCTTCTTGATGACCTTGAGGATCTTCTTCTGGTCGAACTTCTTAGGAAGACCTTGCACGGTTGTCAAAGTCTTACGACCATTTCGCTGCTGGATGCGGATGTGGATGTAGTTCTGGGATTGCTTCGCTTCCCCAGTGTCGTCGTCGGCCTCCGCGAAGGGGTCTGTCACACCAAGAATGTCAGCCGTGAGTCACGAAAGATTCCATCCCAGCCGGACGTGCGCCCATCGAAATGCGACTTGTCGATAGTGCCCCAACAACATGTGTGCCGATGCCCTCTGGATCTTCTATCCTCGAGGCACGCAATCGGTGGAGCGTTTTGTGCTGAGGTTGGCGGCGGCGACAGCGGCAGTGGCGAGGGGTGAGTTGGAAGAGGGGTTGGGCTTACCAAAGGTTTTGAGGTTTTGGATAGTTGACATAAACTCGTCGGTTCCGGGGATCGGTTGGAGCTGGAAAGTGAACTGACGTTGAGGAATAAAGCGATAGTAGCTGTAGTCGCAAAGAGGTGTACTTCTTGGAGTGGAGAGTCGAGCTGTTCGCTGTTGAGAGTTGTGGTTTGGATGAAAGAAAGAAAGGAAGGGGCAAGCAGGGGCGGGGGCATTCGCCGCAGGCAAGCCCGCCAAGCCTGGGTGGCACTGTAGGGGGAACCACCAGAGCCAAAGGCACAAAACTGCCCTGCGAAAAAGCCGGATTCTCCTCGCTTCGGGGGGCAACAGCATGTGACAGCGCAATGCGATTGCTACGTAATGGCTCGAACCACGCACCTCGACGCTGAGGAGGCCAACTCGATGCGTCTGTTAATTATACGGAGTGTCCCACGATCATCGTCGGCGGTATACTGGGTTGCTGTGTGCGCAATACGGACAACATCGGCGAGTAGTACTACAGTAATATCCACCGCTCTGCCCTCCTCATCCTGATACATCTGAGGACCCATTCCCCAACACTACGTCGAAGCAGCCGCCGGTGCTGCAGCAGGGGCCCGTGCATTCGGTGGTGGTGGAAGAAACAAAGGCATGTATGTCTGCATCAACAAATCAGTAGCTCTCCATACCCTGGTTGCGGCGAGTACATACAACACCGACGGCGAGGACTATTAGAGATGTTAGCCGCCAAGATTGCCACGTAAATTCGACACTGTCACTTACGTGCCATGCCAAAAGACAAGTATCCTGGGGTCCCGCTAGGACTTGACCTCTGCGCTGGAGTTTCTCCCAGCCAGTTCAGAAGGGCAGTCATCAGCGAGAACCTGATCCTGTCAATCCCCGACACGTATTCCGGTTTCATCTGCTTACCATCCAAGCATCCTGATGTTGTTGTTAGCTATATGCAATGATGCTCAAACTTTCTCCTTCTTACCTGTTTCTTGTGAACATCTGTGACCTTGCGGTTAGCACTCGCGGACCTTGAACTATAAAGGAGCACTTACAGCAGCCATAGGCATGGTGCTGGTGATAGTTGAGCTGAAGTCGGAAGCCTTTTCATCTTTTGGCTCGGTATATGGAATGACTGAGGGTCATCTGTGAGCGCTTCTTGGTCCTAGGCTTTGTAAGCATCCACTCACTGAGATCTGCCCGTCGCATATCCTTCTTAGAAGCCATTGTTGCGGGTTGTCGACGGTTCGAAAGACTACTCACTTGACCAAACAAATGCAGAACGAGCGATCTGGAGAAGCTCGCAGGTCCGGGAAAACTTCGGAAATAACAGGCTTGGCGGCTTAAGCAATTTGCCGTGTTGAAATCTACTGCAAGTCACCCTCAACTCACTGTTTCCTCACCTCAATTCCTCTTCTGTTTTCCACTCGAACCGGCGCAGAGATGAGCGATGTATGCCCCGTGTATATCGCTTCCTTGTAGAAACGAGGACAGAGCGCAATGCGCGGTCGAGTCTACAACACAGAATCAACTGGGGCCTGCGATCACAATTGCGACTCTTCCCAATGAACAGCAATAGAAGTCATGGTTAAGATGGTTGATTAACTCCTGTCAGGGTGTATGTACTGTCTAGGTGCTAACTTGCAGGAAGAGCTGTTTGATGGACAGCACCATGCGACCGACTGACTGCACAGAGGTCCAGACATATCCACTGCACCGAAGTGGACGTGCCTGATCACTTCTATCTACATTCTCTGCTGTCAACTATTGAGGTGGTAGTCCTGCTCATGGTATATCGGCTGATGATCAGGTGCAATGCACGTCACCATTCGAGTGAGTATGGCACTCCTGCCAGCCGTTAGCCTTGGACGGCAAGATGCATATGAAATCACTTACTTCAGCCGCCGAGGTCGTGGTCGATGCCGATGCCGGCTCTTGCGTCGGCGTCGCGCCGTCATCTGCTGTGGTGTTGTCTGGTTCAGGACACCCGACGCCCGGCACGGCAATGTCATACGCGTACACTTCCAAAGCAAAATACTGCAGCGCATCGCTGTCTCTGGTCGAGAATGTTGGGTTGTGCTCTGCCAGTTCAAGCACGCCTTGGTAGTCCTCCGAATAATGGCCGATATGATCTTCTCCGAACGCCGGCAAGTGGTACAGGCGATGCATCAAGTCAGAAGCCCAGAACGTGTTGGTCTCGGATTCGGCGACATTGTACCCCAAAGCGCACATCTGTGTCAGTGATCTTCGTGTCTCGTACGACAGCGGACAGATGACGGTCTCGTCGGTTGCGTTCTCGCCACGCCAGTGCCCTCCGTATCCTGCTACCATGTCAGCAAATCGAAGCCAAGTTCTCCTAGGGACTCACCTTCGAGGTCACAATTTCCGTCGGGATTGTCGCATCGGAACAGTGATGAGCCTCTGTCGCCGCTCACAATCTTGTCGAGGTAGCCGACGACCTCACCAGAAGGTGCATCGCCAAAGTACTTCTGGTAGTGCTCCGAGCTATTGCCCCAACGAAGGACATGTTCCTTTGCATGTCGTGCCAAATCGACAGTCTCGGCGAGAGCAGCACGAAGTTGACGGGCCTGGCTGGCATTGCAGGACGCATGGATCTGGAATTCAGTCACGGCTCCTGCCCTCCACGCGGTAGCACTTTGCAGGGGCGCAAGGTCATCACTCTGTCGTGCTTGAAGGGGCAGGGCTGATGTTGGGACTGCAGGTGTCAGAAAGAGAAGGGTAAGAAGCATGGTTGTAACGGCTGCCATCTTCGCGGATTTGCCTGAACTCAATCTTTGCCAACTCCTTGCCCAGGTACCGTGGGCTCCGCCAACTATAAGTACTCGAAAGCCCTCATGCTCTTGGCTCGATGGCACGGGCAAGTCCGCCGTGAGGTCGATGTCGAACGGCGACTCCGTTCATTCGACGTCAGTGTGCCCTTCCCATCCCAAAGTTTTGGCCACCTAAGTCCCGTTGAGCAATTCGGAACGATCAGGTATCTAGGGCATGCGTTCTACTTGCGGGTGTGGAAGAGACATGCCCATCCGAGGTGGCCTCTTTGTCAATAGCCTTCGGTAGGTACCACTTCATGCAGACCTTGGCATTCCCGCCGAGCTCTGCTGCAGACCTTAGAGTCTCCGCTCAGAGTCAAAGATGGGGACCCTTGGCATCCCGTCGAGCTTCCAAGATGAGGACCTTAAGGAGCGAGGAGGAACCAACCATCCTTGGCGCGGATCGGGAACGTGGCGCGGACGCCGAGACATTTGTATCTCGAGCACAACCTTCGTAATCGTTCCGTGGGACCAGACTACCAGCATCGCAGAGTACAACGCTGTCACAAACTTCTTACCCAACCGGATCCCGCGAAGCGAGGACCTTAAGCGACAGCAACCACGCGTCTTGGAATGTGCATCGCAGTGGAGTTCGCCAACGGTCTAAGTGTATGTGCTCGTCAGGGCATCTTGAGCGCCTCTTGGATGTCGCCTTGGTTACTCGACCAGAATGGAGTCGTCAAGTGGCAGACCTGTCATCGGTGATGGCCCGCGGACAAACCCATCTGATCTCGTCCTGTATGCCAGCGTGAAAGCTTCTACAAATTCCGACAGCTCTTCGACTTTTGCATACTGTGACTTACCTTCCGCTCGATGGATTCACCATGATACTAACTAGGACGATTCTTTTGCTGGCATGCGCCCTGCTGGCAAGATGCCAAATAACATATACAGGATGTCACAATCATAGCACGATTGAGTATGCCCATGGGCTCCAAGTTCGGTGGGTGCTCGCTGACATCTCAGGTACTGCTACGGCCCTGATGGTGAAGAAACCGCTTTGGCTACGTATTCGAGTTCGCCTCCAGCCACATTGACAAACGCATCGAATTCCACTTCCAATGCCGCAACGACTACTACCAGTAGCGGTCAGACCACGGCCGTTACTGGATGCATTATGCAGGACTCCCAAGTTGTGTGCACCAATGGAAATGGCGAAGACGTCTTGGTCGAAGCGACCGTAACGGCAGAGCCTCCCGCCCAGTACACCGGCTGTCACTCACATGGCGAAGAGCAGTTCTGTATCGGATCGGATGGCGACGAGGTCCTAGTCCTACTGGCTGACAAGCATTTGGGCGAACATCAGGACCATGATGATACTGAAGTGACTGGGAGCGAAGGAGAAGACTGCCACTTCCATGCTGGCGTCGAGCATTGCGTTGGCCCGGGCGAGTCGGAGTCATCTACAGAATCCCACCAGTCGTGCAATGTACGCACGCGAGATTATGACATCCCTCTCAGAGTGGGAACGCTCTTCGCTATCCTGGCCACCAGCTCGATTGGTGTCTTTGGTCCCATCTTTCTCAATCACCTCCCATTTGGAGCGGTAAGAGGGATTGCACTATCGATCATGAAGCAATTCGGCACAGGCGTTATTGTTTCAACAGCCCTGGTGCATGTAAGTCGCTTCATTCTCCGTCTGGGGCGTGAATTCTGACCAAAACCAGCTTTACACTCATGCTTCGCTGATGTTTGCGAACGAATGCCTCGGGCGACTGAGCTACGAAGCTACGACTTCAGCGGTGGTGATGGCTGGCATTTTCCTCGCGTTTCTCGTGGAATACGTCAGTCACCGTATTTTACTGTCCCGCGCTCAGAATTCCAATGGAACAGCAGCAAGTCAAGCCCCGAGCAGGCAATGTCCCTCTCCAGACAAGACGGTGCCCCAGCCGGCCTTGGCGACATATGCTGATCACCATCTCCCACCGTCTGGTCTCAGTCCGAACACATACCTCAGCGTCCTGGTCATGGAAGCCGGCATTCTCTTTCATTCCATTCTGATCGGACTTACCCTCGTCGTCGCAGCGGACTCGTACTACATCACGCTGTTCATCGTCATTGTCTTTCACCAGTTCTTCGAAGGAGTTGCACTAGGTTCACGTATTGCGGTGTTGTCTGGCTCCCGACGTACTATGATACACAAACTCTTGATGGCCGCTGCGTTTGTATTGATCACACCACTGGGAATGGCGATCGGGCTGGGTGTGCTCAATCATTTCAACGGCAACGATCCTTCGACCATTGTGGCAATAGGCACATTGGACGCATTGAGCGCGGGGATATTGTTGTGGGTTGGCGTGGTCGATATGTGGGCGAGAGACTGGGTGGTCGTGGGCGGCGAGCTGGTTGATGCAGCGTTCGGTAAAGTCCTCTGTGCTGGTCTGTCGCTGGTGTCCGGGATGGTGTTGATGGGTGTTTTGGGCAAGTGGGCGTGACGCAGTAGTCGTGACGGAGAAAGCGTGAAGGAGAAAGCGTGAAGGAGAGGGGGGAGTCGTTATACCCGGAACGGACTCCGTATAGTAGCAGGTACTCAGTACATACAGCATCCACGGCAAGGCTTCCTGACCTCGGACGCTGCTGTGGCTGTAGCTGTGGCTGAATCACCCGTATCGGTGCCCGCACTCGTACGAGTTCAGGAACCGCAATCTCAATACTGACCGTGAATGTAATGAATGATAAAAAGTTGGATCATGACGAGCCCGTTTCTCCGTACCAAGGATACAACAACGCCGAGGAGATATTCCACTCCAGCTGATCAGGAAACAACCCCACGGAAGAACAAGCATCATACCTACTCATAATCACGATCATCCACGATCACCACCAGGACGAGGGAGGGATAGTTCACGAACAGACCAGACGGGCGACGAGTGCAGTCATCCACTACCACTCCCCACTAATGACAGCAGCTGTACGGCGTACGGTGTCCTGTGGTAGCTGGTGCTGGTGCTGGTGCTGGCCCCCCGGCACTGCTGCACACTGCACGGCAATTATGCAATCCTCTCGCATGATTCTTGGACTTGAGTTGGTTGGTTCGTTGGCGTCGGAACTGGAACAGTCGACCGACTGAGATGAGCATACATACTGGGCACACTTGACACATGCTGAGGCACGCATACTGGGCACGCTGCGTGGGCGTGCAAGTGCAAGCCGTGCGGTCGAGTCGGTCTCTCCTCTGTACGCTGTCCTCTACTCGTACTCTATACCATACGGAGTACTAATCAAGTACCTCAGGTACCTACGTGGTGGGGATTAGTTACTTCTACTCGTCCTGGTACTGTAATTACTCGTTCGTAAGTCGTCGAGCCAGCGCTGCGTTGGGATCAGCGTTGGCACTGCCGGTGACACTTCTCATGCCATTTTATACATACAATACATACAGTACAGACCAGCACTGTACATAGGTACAACCAGATCTTGCGTGCTGGCAGCTTGCGAGCTCACGAGCTTGATGACCGGACGAGGAGCCGAAAGAGCAAGGCCGAAAAAAGGCAGTAGCCAAGACGGAATGCGAGCTTGACGCATTGTCAGAAGAGGCCATTCATTCATTTCTTGACTCGCGAGTTTGGCTTACATATCCACAGTCTGTGTGCTCTGTACTCTGTAACTCCGTGATGACTTCCGGCCGAGTACGGAATACGAGGTCCTCCGTCACCGTCCTCAATACGCACTCAATGATCGGCGATCGTGCATTCTCGGTTAGTCGGGATGGTCGGTCGGTTTGTCGATTGTCGATCGTCCTCGGAGTTTGTGATCCGTGGCGCTTCTCTCGCGTGTGGAAAGTGCCACTTTGGCGACTTGTCAAAGTTCCATCGCTGCAGTTCGGCCGAGACCGGGGAAGAGAAGAGTTCATGTGACTTGCGACTTGCGACTTGCGACTTGCCTGACTTTGTCACTGGTGGGCGACTTGTGGCTTGCCGACTTATGACGAGCGACTTGGGACCGTCGACTCGTCCGTGTGTGGCATGTCGGGTTCATTGATGCAGGTCTGCGACGACGACTCTACCATTGCACTTAGTGAGCATTCGTACTCCGTATTTTGTACGGCATAATAATGTGTGAGTGGGTACCTGACCTAGGTACGGAGTACCTTATTCCATACTCGTACGTCGCTCGTACTGGAAATCCACCAGATCTAGTCTGCGGCCGTGAGTCGACGAGAGTGAAACACATGTTATTTCGGACGGATTGGGAAAGAATTGATGACAGATCAGGCCTTGACGACAGATCAGGGAAATGGTGAGGCCTGAAACCGCGGTTTCAACGACGAAGAAGGAGAAGGAGAAGGAGAGTTCAGGATGCCCGCTGCCGAAGGATCGTCGAGATGAGCACGACACGAGCCAGTAGGAATCACATTCCACCGTACACGGCACTAACTACCGACTACCGTACGGAGTGGTACCTGCGTACAGTACTTGTACCAGTAGACAAGCACAAAAGCACACAAGCGCCTCCAATATCGACAGTTAGGGAATCATCACCAACACGGCTGTGACAGCCAGGACGAGTAAGTACTCATACTCATACTCATACTCACTCGTACTATCTAGGTACCTTTGGACCCCAATCGGCGTTGGGCCTCCCATCGTTCGTTCGGTCCAGTTCAGCGCTCTGGGTCAGAAATCATTAGGGCCTTGAAAACGCCTGACAAGTACAACAAATAGGATTCGCTCGCTCACCCTCACCCTCACTCACAACCACGCTCATAGGACCACGTTGTCTCGTTTCGTCTCATGTCATCCCGTTTGGTCTCCTCTCCTCTCTCTTCAGACGTGTGCTGATGGAGGAAAGGATGGCCAGACGCCAAAATTGTGGGCTGGGATCACCGCGGACCACGGCCTTGGATCTCGTATACGAGGAGACGTGCTGGCGGGACCCGAGACCATGGAGGACCGCATGAGAGCCTGATCACCGCCCAGGACCCGATCGAGATGCATAGAGATGTGCTGGCGGGGACTCGACACCATGGAGATCCGCCCGCACCTGACCGCCTGATCACCGCTCAGAGACCCGATTGAGATGTGTAGAGATGTGGCATAGTGTGGTGCGGTGTAGATCTGTGTGCGGGCTTGAGCACAAGTACGTGCACAATACACGGCGACCATCAACAGGCTGCCGTGAATGTGCGCACAATCTGGCTGGTCCGGTGACTTCATGAGGTAGGTAGGTAGGTAGGCAGGTAGGTGCAATGTCAGTCATCTCATGGTCGGATACATACCTGCTAGGGGGCACGGCGCTTACGCAGTCTGAGGCCAGGAGACACGATCGTGGATCCTCGCGCCGTGTGTGCCTTTTGCACAATCTGCGTCGAGTGTCAGGGTGATCAATCAAAGGGTTCGAGCATCAAGCAGTGTGAGACTGTCGGGGCAGTGACAGCGACCGTGACCGTTATCGTGATCGTGATCGGGCTCGTGACGAGTAATGATCGCATGTAGGGGTAGAATACTGCACGAAGCAAGAAGCAGGTCACTAGACGCAAGACCCCAGACGAACACAACCCTGGATGGAATATCAAACCGTTGTCCCTTTCATTGTCGTCGCCGCCGCCGTAGAATCCATAGCTTTACAAACTCAAGGCGCAAATCCGGGACATGTGCGCAGAAATGGTGTCGATCAAGCAGGTTACTGTGATTTTGATCCAGGTGAACTTGTCTAGGCCAGGATCGTCATGCCGCTCGTTGCTCGTGCCATTTCTTTGCTCGAGAAGCCGGGCCCCGGAATGAGTGGGTGTCCTGGAGAGTACTCGCACCCCGGATCGACTGTGTTAATCCGTACTGTGTAAGCTGGACGATGGAAGGACAATATCCGGGGTTGCATGTGTGTGCAACCAAAGCCTCATGCTCATGCTCATGCTCATGCTCATGCTCATGCTCATGCTCATCCGGCGGCACTGCACGCGCTGTGGCTCCTGACGCCAGGAACGCACGCACGCACGCACGCACGCACGCACGCACGCAGACAGATAGGCAGGAACGGACACAGACAGGACCCGGGAGAAGCCAGTATTGACTAATTAGTGTCCGGGCACATACATAGCAGATGATCAGTCAATCAGCCAGTAAGTCAGTCGGTCATGTGTGGTGTGTACTGTGTCCGGCGTACCGTCGAGACTGCACAAGGCAAAGCCATAATTTCTTGCACTGTCGTCGCCCTATGGCCATGATCTGCTTACGGTGTGTGTGTGCGTGTGCGTGTGCGTGTGGGTGTGCAATTCGACCATCTGATTAATTTGCCATGCACTGGACTGGACGGGACTGGACTGGACTGGCACGCACGACTGGTTAGAAATCAATCAATCAATCAGTCCCCCTCGTGGCCCGTGCTGATGATGGTGGTTAATCGGAAAGATTACTTTCAGTGTGCGCACCGTCAGTGCGAGTGCAAGTGCAAGAACGAGGGCGAGGCGGCCGAAATTTTTAATCAAATGCCGTTGATTATTCCGTCGATGCAAAAGCGCCGCGCCCCCGTCGTACACACAGGACATTAAGTTTTTACAAAGCACAGTCGGGTGGTCACTTTGGTAAGAAAAGTCAGGGAGAGGAGAGGAAGGATCAATAATGCTGACCACCTTGGGGTCCGAAACCGTGAGGGCAGCCAGGCGGGCCAGGCAGGCAACCAGGCAGACAAGCCAGCAGTCCCAGGCACCACTCAATGTGGTATGTACTGAGCACTCGTACTCCGTACATACGGGATTACTGCAATCTGACCCCTGCCGGCCACTCTCGGCCGCAAAGTCGAGCCGAGCGCCTGACGTCTCCGCAAATGCGCGCGAGACGGACGGGACTGGGAGCGAGCGAGTGTGTGTGTAAATTCCGGCGCCGAAGTCCATCGCCCGAGTGAATTTCCATTGTGTGATCACGATCCGAGACTTTGATTGTGGTCGAGTCCCGCGATCGGCGACAATTTGCACAAGTCACACCGGGGCGAGCACACACACAAGCACACGCCTGGCAATAATGAAGGGAATGCACTGCGTACAGAGTATAGTGTCTGAAGTGGAAGCCGTAGGAGAAATATGAGGTATCATGGTTGTTTAGATCAATTATTTCATTGGTGTCAAATGTCTCAACCTCGCGACAGGGAGAACTATCTGACCTGACCGGACCATGCCAGTATACATACTCGTAGAGTGGATTTTAGTCAACGTGAAGAGCCCAAAAAGCAAAGGCAGTGCAATAGAGCGTGGGTCATCTTCACGGGTGGCGTCCATCCCAACTGTGTCCCCGGGCTGGCATTGATGCCACGACTACCGGGTCGACAGCGAGGTTGGATGACACTCCGTGCCCGATCTCCCCAGGCTCACCAGCTTCCTTTGCGCTCTTTCTTCCACGTTGTCGTCCCAAATTTCCCGTGTTGAATACAATTTTGATTCAGTCTGTTGAATCGCCCGAAAAACCAAAGAGTACAATGCCAAAACACCATGCTCGTAAAGACGTCAAGATGCCGTGGAGAATGTCGCTAGAACGCGGCGGGGGTATCACATGTGGTGGGAAGAGTCGTTTCAAGGGCGGTCAATCAACCTGCTCTAGTAGGCAGCGATTATGGTCGGCTGTTGCCTTGAAGGGAGGTAGAAGCCTTCTTGCTCAAAGGCTTCCGACTCTTCCTGTGATAAGGAGGCGTTGTCCTTGACGTCGTAGTACGACGTCGTGGCGATGGCCTGTCTTTGCTTCTCGCTCAGCACCTCGATGGTCATGGTGGGCGGTGAGGGAGGCATGTGTTCGTCGTCCGAGTCGGAATCCGTGTCGAGGCTGAGTTCGGGGGGAGAGTGTCGCGAGGCCGTTCGGACGAGAGCCAAGTCACCGCTCTCCTCGTCGTCATCTTCCGACATGTCCGAGTCGACTTCGATGGCGGTGACCTTGGTGTTGGGCTTCTCCTCATCCTCGGACTCGTCGTCGTCGTCGTCGGAGCTGGTGGCATCCTCAGCCTCCCAGTCGTGCTCGGGCTCCTCCACAATCGTCTCGACGTGTCGAGAACTCTTCTCTCCTTCCTCCTCCTGCGATCCGTTGACGATGCTGTTGAACCACCGCTCCTGTTCCTGCTCGGCGGTTGCCAGGTCGAGCATCAGCGAGTCGAGCATGTTGGCGTGTCCCACCAACAGGCGGAGGTCGTGGTCCGGTCGGGCAGCCTCCTTGGAGAGCTTGCCGCGGGCGCTGTGAGCGAGGAAGTAGGTCTGCGTGATGCTCATCTTCTGCTTCTTCTGGGGTCGGGTGTAGATGGACTGGGCCGAAGCCTTGGTGGTCGCTGTGGAAGCGGAAAAGGTCACCGAGGAAGGCATTTTGATGCTTTGTACGGTGTATATCTGAGTCACTGCTGTGGGTACTTTGCTAGCGGTGATAGTGGTTGGCACTGTGTATGCAAGTCCTGTGCTGGTGTTGGTGGATGCTGGTGCCAGACTTTTTCATCAATGTTGTTGTTGTTGTTGTTGATGTTGCTGTAATGATGGAGAGAGAAGAGGCTGGTCGGAAGGGAGGGTGGACGCGTTCTTTTGTAAAGGCATTGGTGTGCTGAGTGTTATGCATCCATCGCAGGTGCCTTACACATCAGAGAAATCCGAGCGTACTTCCTAAACTCCACCGACCCGTCGAGCAGGGGTCAGAGACGACCAGGGTCAGCCCTGGTCACGCCCCCCTGTCAACAGGGCTGGGGCTTTCGGCCGTGCAAGTCTTCGTGCTCGGGCTGTAAGTTCTTCCACCCCCAAATGGAGCAAGCGTCGCGCTGCGGGTCCTTGTGCTGATGAATCGTTATGCTCAGTGACAGTCGGTCTGCTGGCTTCAAAGCAGCAACACCCATCGATTCTGGCCGAAGTGATGACGCGCCCCCCCCGGCCTGCCAGAACGTTATGCGGTCGGCCGGCCTTCGTGTCGATTCGACCGTCCCTCGTATTCCATCGTGTACACATTCCCGGCTGCCTGACCTTCGGAGGGTTTGTTATCCCCTTCGATTTCGCCCTTTGGTCGTTCGGCTCCAGGGTCGCAGTAAGCTCCGAGAAGAGTAATGACTCTGAGCAACCCCCCCTCCCTGTGGCTCTCGTTCGCTGGCTCCCTTATTGCCGGCTGATCTTACGCCCACACCCGTACACACACTCCTCCCTTTTCTTACGGCATCCTGTGTCTCGCCAGCGGTCACCTCGCGGTTGGCCTAGTGATTGGCTTACTGGCCTTTTGTCGCATGTACCTCTGCTGAGGACATGACATTTGCTATCTCCTTGGCCAGCCGTGGCAGTCTGGCAAGATTATGGCATGATTCACAAACCAATGCTCCACGTACACAGGATGACCTTTGATTTCCGCCCCCGAAGGCCAGAAGCCCCAGACACACAAGAGGTGTTGCCGTTTGTAGCCTCCGATGACAGATATTTCCCGATTACTCGCTCTTTCCCAATCCGCCCTGACTGAGCAGTTTGAGGACAAGCCTGACCAGGCAGGGCGTGGGCTGCCGTAGACGCAGCTGGAACTCCCATCTCCCAGGAGACAGCGCGGAGCTGCTGAGAAATGCGCTCGTGCTCTCGTTCCGCCCAGGAGCCAATGACGACCGCCCCAAGGCCGTGGTGACTCGACCCTCAAGACTTTTCTTCGTAAGCCATGTGTTGTAACGCTGCTTGGGGACTTCGTGCAAGCCACATGCTCATGACAGTCCTGTCTCCCTGGCGGTCAAAGGTCTGGACTGAGCGCAACAGCCCATTGCTCGCGTAATCCGATCATCCGGTCACCACTGCCTGCTCTGCGTATTCACTGCGGTTGCCCGAAACGTCGAGGCTTTCCAATTCTGGTTCCAAATGCCATGACTCCAGCAGACAATGCTGTCACCGTCACCACTGTCATGTCACAGCACCACTAAGCCGGGTGAACTGAGGGAAAACCCCCCCTTACGTAGCTACAGTATGTGAATGCGACCGCGACTGTAACTTGGCAGCATTGCATTTTTGACTTCTGGCTGCTGGCTGCTGGCTGCTGTCCGCATACGCAGCGCTTTCCTGATCCATCGCAAGCTCCATGTCAAGACCGAAGTCATGGGCGTCCAGAATGTACCCAGTACCACAGTGTGCACAGAATGTGTGTGGCATCGACATTGGTGGAGAGGCCGTCAACCCTCACGACCCCAGCGAGAGACTGATAACGAGACCCTGAAACCCAACCAGGCATGATTTTCGGGCTTCGAGCTGAACGCCTAGCGGCCTGAAACACGCGCTGAGGGAGCCCATCCTGAGACGCCTCTAGAACTCTGACTCGGGTCGCCCAGGACGCCCAGTGCGCCGCCTATCGAGAGCCTACCCCGCCTATAGACACCTAAATCTACAGGCATCACCAGGTACATGGCCCGTATGCACGCCGTTCATGTACACTGAACAGAGATATTTCCAGCAGTGACTTTCTCGTCGTCTACAAGTGGGCTGAGCTGCATGAATCTTTGGCTGCCTGTGTTTTGAAGCCTGCCCCATCCCAGCAAGAACGGATTCCATTTGTCCTGGACAGTAGGCGACCGCCATTTGAAATTGTCCGAGTCGACCGGGCACAACTGCTCTGCCACATGGCGTGCGTGAGCAGGTCGCCCTGATCGTCGGACCCGCGTCGTTTTCGGGCTCGCTTTCGTATACAGAAGCAGTACTCGGTGCAATACCCCATACTTGCACGTATGTCGTACTGTCCGCCAAAGGAGGCCGTGGCTCAGCGAAGCGTATCCGCCGTATTGGGAGCAATACGCGAGCCCACACGATCTCGCGATGCTCGCCCATACACCAACCCCACTTGGGACGAGCAGTCCTGCTGCTTTGACCGCTTGGCCACTCGGCCTGTCGGCCTGAAATTGTGCGTGGATGTGCGTGGATGTGCCAGGCAGACAAGCGAGCCTGTCGCCTTCGATTGGTGGAACGTTCCAATCTGCTGGGCGAAGAAGGGATGTGACACAGCTTGATCTCCGACCAAGCCGGCCGGACTTGACGCTTTCTTCCGAGTCCGAGTGCGCGGCCGGGCACAAGAGTTGTTCATCCCCCAATGCTTTTGTGCTCGTCACGGCTTGTCCCCAGTTACCTGTGACGGCTAGACTCCTGCGCGCGCGAAACACTGATGCACATCTTCCCGAAGGAGGATAGCATGTGTCGACATTGTCGACTTATGCGTCCGAGTGACTGTGTGTGTGTGCACCCGTGACTTGCTGACTCGCTGACGATCTCGCGCGCTCGGCCCTTGACGGGCTTTCGCAAACTCCATGGCCAGCCGTGCGCAACCCGCGGGCGGGTGCTCGCTCTGCCCGACTTCGACCGAGCATCAATTATGCAAAGTGCTAATTTCCTTCCCCAGAGTTAGAGTCACGGATCATTTGATGGCCACCACCACCACCCGCACAAAGTTGCTGTGCGTCGCACAGTCCGAGGAAGCTACTCGTACCCCTCCCCGGCGTCCGCAATCCCATGACCTGCGACAAGCGGAACGGTGCGGAGCTTGAACATCGAAGATCAGGAAAGTACTGTACAGCGCATGCGCTTTTTCGACGTCTCCTGTGTACTCGTGACCCTGTCGAACGAAAATGCCATGCGGAGTCTCCGTTGTGCACGAGAATATCTCGTACATGAACGGGGATGCACAGCTGTCCCCGAGTCGACTACAGACCGAGTACTCCGTACCTACGAGGAATTCCGGCCCTGTGGACGAAATATTCGTGCGCCTACTCTGTACTTACGCCGCCAGTACCCGTGCAGGACTCCATTTCGTAATTAGCAAAGCAAAGCAAAGCGAGACACGAAAACCAGCGGGCACCCAACGGCGACACAGATTTCTGCGTACGTATTACTAACCAATGAAGACTAAGCGGTCAAACGATATCATCATGATTTTCAGGAGGCAGTGAACCGTGCATGCATGCATGCATGCATGCATGCATGCACGCATGCCAGGCAATCTCGAATTAATCTTGACTGCTATAATAAATAACTTGGTAGCCTGTTCGAGTGCGTGCGTGCATGTCGCACTTTGACCTAGATCGGGCTTAACGTACTGGGTATGGGGTGAATAATGGTGCTGCCTTGAGGTGTGGGTGTATGGCTTGGGATTTCGCGAACCGCCGTTGCATCGTTTCGTGAAAACCTTAGCGAGTACGAGTTACGAGTTGACAACACCACACAGCGGTACTCGTACCCAGTAGCCAGGGCGTGTCAGGGTCGGCTTACCAGATGCGGCAGTCTTCTCGAAGGGAACGAAATGCTCGACGAGCGGACCTGCTGGCCTTACGGGGGCGGTGTCATCCAATCGAACCGCTTTGTTGCAAACTTGTCCTTTTGTCGCGGGCAAATCACCACCCCATCGCGCCAGGGAGGCTGTGCTTATTCTTAGAAATAATTGCCATGTGGTCGCCCTGCCCGTGTGTCTGCGGCGTCGTGTTCGTGTAAGTCAGTTAGTGCCCAGTAGGACGGATTACTAGTACCTATTGCGCACCTCGTTCATCCCCAGATTTATCGAGTCAACAATCGTGGCTGTGAGGCGGTGACATTGTCGTTAGGTAGGTGGCCGCATCTAGCGCCCTTCAGGGACGGGACTCTGACATGAGATGCGTGAGTCAAATCACGGTGCCTCCATGCGTACCCAGTACTGCGTGATCTGTATGCAACACCAAAGGACCTTAACAGACAGGGCAGTCGCGCGAGACCCATCGTCCTTCGGCGTACTGCGTACTGCGTATGGTCTACTAACGAAGTATGTATCGCTGTTGCCACTTGCGGCGTACGATTGTTCGGCCGCTGAATGCCAGTGTTCGCGCCACGAAAGCACTGACTCTAATTCCTGGCAATTTCGAGCTTGATGCTTTGTCATTCGTTCGATTGCAAACGTGATGACATTTCAGCGTGTCAGGACGCAGATATGCTCTCGGAGATAAGTAATGATTATCGAGCGGCTGGATTTCCGTCCGATCATGGGAAATCTTATTTCTCGGCCCTACCACGGTCTCCTGTGTGCCTGAGGATGACAAACTCGCTGTGCCGAAGTCGGACCATGGTCAATATTGGGTGGATACTGTATCATTTCCCACGGTGCTTACATTATGTAGCAGTCATCCTACAAACTTCGCGCGCGCAGGGTCACTCGCTGCTTTTGCTGCACTTCACCCTGTGTGTGAAGGTGAGAGGCCTCGAAAGCTTACCACACCACTGGGACCATCCAAGAGACCCCTCCGCAATGGGTACGGACGAAGCTGACGGGCGAGTCTGGGAGGTGTGTGCGCGTGTATGCCAACTGGAACGAGTACACAGTACTCGGCTTGCCAGCAATATCCACATCTCGTATA